CCTGAACGATGGACTGCGACCCCTCTCCGTCGAAACTGTTTCCATCCCCTTCGCCACCCCGAAGATGGCGGGCTGCATCTCGGGGTGCATTTTGTCAAAGGGAAGGAAGGCGCCCTCCAACACAACCGTCTTGAAGATCTCGATCGCCTTCGCGAGCTGCTCGCCGCGCAAGTTCTTCTCTGCCCTGCCCTCGGTGTTCCGCAACCTGGGAGCGATCGAATCGAAGCGGAACCCTTGCGCGGCGAACCGCGGCAGCTCGAGCCCCCGCGTGGACCCATGGACCCCAAACTTTCGGGCCCAAAACCTTCGGGCCAAGGCCAAAACCCTGGGCCCCAAACCTTCGGGCCCCCATGGGCGCGCAAGCTGCCGCGGTCAACCAGCCAAGGGCGCCGCCGATCCGACCCCGGCCAACCTCGAGCTCGCGAACTTCGGCACGAATGCCACTCCAGCAGCCACGATGGGAACGAGGTCTTCGGCGGGGAACCCCTTGACCACCCGAGGCTCGACCAGCTCGTTGATCGGCGCCGTCTCCGGCTGGGAGAGGTCCATCACTGGGACGACCTTGGCCTTCTCGACGCCGCGCTCGAACAAGGCCAACTTCTGCTGCGAGCCAGCGCCTCCGCTGGCCTTGACACCGCTGCCTCCGCTGCGGCTGCCCGATTTGTTGCCGTCCTTGGTGGAGGCCTGCTTCAGCGCGTTCCGCATGACCGTGACTGCGTTCCGCGTCATGGTGACCAGGTCGTTGAGGGCGGCCTTGAAAGGCTTGACCGACTCGAGGACCGCCTTGATGTCCGACTCCTGCTCCGCCTGCTGGAACCTGGCAAAGAAAGGTTCGAACTCCACAATAGTCATCAGGCTGCGGTAGCTCCTGCATGGAGGCGTCGCGCTAGAGCCATTGAAGCCCGCGATGAATACTTTCAGCTACTTGATGGCCCTCTTCTCCTTTCTCTCGGCTAACGACAGACCCTTCAACGAGGTACTGTCAGAGGGCGGCTTCCAGCCCATGACGCTGGCGGCCGCGCCTGAGCCCGCGGCGGCCGGCCGCAGCCCCGCGGACGAGGCTGGGGGCCCGCCTGCCACGACCTCGGCGTTCTTGTCAGCGGCCGCGACCTTCGAGCTGGGCGTCTTCTCGCCATCCTCGGCCATGGCAGCAGGCTCGACAGCGCCAGCGCCAGCGGCCGCTGGCGCCTCAGCGCTCTCGATCCTGGGTGCATCCTCAGCGCGCGCGGCACCCTCCTCAGCGGGCTTGGCACCGGCACCCTCCTCAGCGCGCTTGGCACCCTCCTCAGCGAGCTTGTCAACCTCCTCCTCCTCCTCAGCTGCGGCTGCCGCCGCGCCCGCAGCGGCTCCCGGCGCCGCGCCTGGAACGGTGCTCTCAGCTGGCCCTGTCGCGGGCGCCCCGTCAGCACCGCCCCCTGGCACCTGGTCGGCCTTGGGCTCGCTGGCGGCCCCCGGCACTCCAGCAGCAGCAGCAGCGGGCGAGCTGGCGGCGAGGCTCAGCGGCGACTGCCCATCCTGGCGGGCGCGGCAACATCACAAGCCTAAGTCGTTCCCTTCCATCCGTGGCATTCCCCTCGACCTGGCCCTACACCCCTCCTCCTCCTCCTCCTCCTCCTCCTCCTCCTCCTCCTCCTCCTCTCTTTCCCCCCCCCTCCTCCTTCTCCTCCTCCTCCACCTCCTCCTCCTCCTCCTCCTCCTCCTCCCCTTCTCCTCCTCCTCCTCCTCCCCCCCCTCCTCCTTTTCCTACTCCTCCTCCTCCTCCTCCTCGCCCTCGACGACGACGACGACGACGACGACGACGACGACGACGACCACGATCACGACGACCACGAACACGACGACGATGAGCACGACGACGACGACGACGACGACGACGACGACGACGACGACGACGACGACGACGACGACAACGACCCCTCGGGACACTCTGGCCCAGAGACAAGCAGGGAACGGGGGAGTGGCGGAATGTCCCTGCCCCCTGTCCTTGGGCGCAATCGGCTTCGCGGGCGTCGCAAACTCCATGCTCTGGAGAGCCTGGATCGTGAGGGCCGAAACGCCGTCCTGCTGATCGGTGGACTTCCTGCTGCTGTCGGTGAGCCCGAGCACCAGGCTACACGCCTTGTCGCGAGAGTGAGATATACAATGATTGGGCATGGATTGAAGGGGACAGCATAATAACGAGAGACGGAAGGAGGCCGGAGGCGGGGAGGGAGCCGGGGGGGTAAGAGGAGATGAGGGGGGAGGGCATGGACAGCAGAAGGGGAGAGGGAGAGAGGAGGGCGGAAGGAGGATGAAGGGATGAGGGAGGCAATGAAACAGATGGCGGGGTGTCAAGATAAAAGGGGGAAGCGAAGGGAGGATGACGATGAGGAGGGGGGAGGAGGGGAGGAGCATTTAAGATGCGGGGGCAGAAAGAGGAAGTGGTGGAGGAGGAGGTGCAGGAGTAGGAGCAGGAGGAGGTGGAGGGGGAGGAGGAGCAGGAGGAGGAGGAGGAGAAGGAGGAGGGGTAGGAGGAGGAGGAGGAGGAGGAGGAGGAGGAGGAGAAGGAGGGGAAATCATAAGGATAAATGTTCAGGATCGGAAGCGACTGGGGCAGGCAGGGCGAATTGGACTGCCCCACGGCCCGAGCCTGAGAGCGCTGCCTCAAGACCATGATCTCCGTCTTCAGGTGATCGGCCACGCCGGCCTCGCGGGCCTGCGCGACGAGGTCGTGGCCCTGGTCGAAGAGGTCCGACATCGTCCTGATCATCTCCTCCTTCCAGGTGGCCTGGGCCTTCTCTGCGTTGGCAATCTTCTGGTCCTTGTCGACCCAGATCTTGCGCGTCTTGGACGCGGGCCCCTGAGGCGGGCCGAGGCGGGCGGAGGGCGAGCGCGGGGGGCAGGAGTCCCCCGCGGCAGGAGGGGAGGGGGAGAAAGGAGGGGAGGAGGGGCAAGGGGAAAGGAGAGGAGAGGGGAGGGGAGGAGGAGGGGTAAGAAAGACGATGCAGAGTAAGAGGAAGTTCTGGACACGGTCCCCCCTCCCCCAATGCAGGGGGGAGGGGGGGGGCCAGGGTCGCGGGGGGGGGCCCCGGGGGGGCCGATGATCGAAAGATGGTGAAGGGGACGGGGTGCTCGATTTGAAATAACAACGAGCCTCGCTGGAGGCTGCCCCTCCCTTGCGCTTCCTGCCCCGGCCCTGGCCCACCGCCTCCTCCTCCTCCTCCTGGCTGCCGCTCTCGTTGCCGTCCTCCTCGAGCTCGGAGCCCTTCTTGCTGACCTCAGTGGCCAAGGTCCTGATGCCGCCGAGGTTCGCGAGCTGCCCGCTGAACGCAGAGGACACCGCGCCCTCTGCATCAACCACGGCCCCCCGCGCCAAGAACTTCTGAAGCTCCTTCCCACTCATCTGAGACGTCGCGCCGGAAACGTCGCCCATGTTGGTGTGCACGCGCTGGTGAGCCTTATCCACGTCAGCCTGCGAGGTCCTCTTGATGAGCTTGTCGTTCATGGTGTACCCCTGCCCCCTCGCGACCATCTCGCGGTTCGTCAGCTTGGTGTCTATCTTGACGCCGAGGCGGGTCTCGTAGCCCTTCTGTTCGCCAAGGTAGTCCACGATCGCGTCGGGGTCCTCGATCCTCCTCTTGAACTCCTCCTCCGCTGCGGCCGTGGAAAGCCCCCGCGGGGGGCAATTCTTGGGCTTGCTGGCCCAGTGGCAGAACGCGACGCTGTGCATCATGGACCACACGTTGTCGCGCAACTGTTGCTGCTCTGACCGGACGAAGTGCTGGTACTGGAGAGGCGCAAACGTCTTCGGCTTCTTGTTCGCGTCGGTGGCGGCGCAATTCAATCGGTACCAGCGGCGCAACTTCTTCCACTTGTTCTTGTCTTTCTTCTGGGACCTGTACCACTCTATCATGTCGTCGCCCTCAGCCTTGCAGGCTTTGTAGATGTTGTCCCGCACCCTGATGCACGGGTCCGTGCAGACTGCGGAGCCTGGCTTGAAGTCGCCGAGGGGCTTCTCGACCTCACAGTCGGCGCAGATCCGCTTGCCAGCCTTCGCAGTCGTGGGCCTGCCACCAGCGCCGCCGCCACCGCCCTTGCTTTTCCTATTCTGCTTTCCACGTCCTCGACCTGCTTTCGGCGAGGCCCTGCTCCTGCGGCCGCGGCCAGCGCGGCTGCACTGGGCAGACTCGTTGGACTCCTCGCCACCCTTGTCGTCAGCATCGTCGCCCGCCTGCTCGCCGCGGAGCTCGCCATCCTCGCTGTCATCCAAGGGGCTGTCGCACAGGCCGGCACCCTCTGGTCTGCGCCGCTTGGCCCCCGCCATCACCGCCCCGCCCTCGCGGGAGAACTCGGACCCTATCACCGCCGCGACGTCGAAGGAGTGCCAGAGGAGTTCGGACCCCGCTCGAACTCGGACTGGCCCGACTGTTCCCTCGAACGTCAGGCTCGAACCCAAGCGGTAGCGGAGTAGCGGAGGGGAGAGGGAAGGGGGTTGCGAGGCAGGGAGACATGGGGGGCCCGTAAGGGAGGAGGGGTGGAAGGAGGATGGAGGACAATCACGGGGATTTGAGCGCTACATCCACCCCCGCCTCCTCCCTCAGCCTCCTCGTCCTCCTACTCCTCCTGGCCCTCTTCGTGCCTTCGCACCTCCCGACTCCGCCTCCTCCCTCCTCCTAGCTGCCACCCTGGCCATCTAACCCATTGCTCTGGATCGGCCCCCCGCTCGCAAAGGCCGCCACTCTGGCGGCCCGCCGCGCCCAGACATGCCGACGGGGGAAACGCGAGATATTGCGCGACATGCGCGCAGACGAGCCGCGCCCAGCCGCAGAGACGAAGGCCCCGAACAATCCAGAGGAAAGGGAAGGGAAACTCAGGACACACGTGATAGACCGACCCAAGATGCCCCATAGCCCATAGACCTCGGGCCAATGGCACTAACGACCTTTTCCAACTCTGACAATCTGGGCTCCACGCGAAGCCCGCAGCCTCGCAGTCGACAGGAGACGCCCCAGACTGCCTCATTAGATCATCGCCTGCATGCACTCGTTGTGTTGGCGAGGCCTCGCCGTGTTCAGAGAGTACCGGCTCGAGCCCGGCGAATCGGGGGGGTCGGCGTCGTCGCCCTCGACAACAATGGGGAGCTCGGTCTGGCGGTAAGCTTTGGCCACGGTGGACGTCGCCATCAGGAAGGTCAACATGGCCCCGATGCAGGCCCAGTGGAAACCGACGCCGGTGATCTGGCGCGCCTCATTGTCGCCCAACTGCAAGGCGTTGCCCTGGGAGCTGTTCGGCGTGACGAGGCCGGGGAAGGGGAAGTGCTTGCTGAGGCCCTCGCTGACGGCCCCTGGAATCGGAACGGGGTAACCCTGAATCAAGAAGTGCTGGATGGGGATCAACTCTTTCATATGCACGAGGTCGAAGAGTAGGCTGCGCCGCAGCAGCGCAGGGGCGTTGCTGCCCGCGCTGTACATGCACGGATTCTGCTGTAAGTTGACGATGCAGGCGGGGGGATTCTTCGACATGAACTTCTTGCACGCCTCGTGGTCCTGGTACTGCGCAAGGCGGACCTTGCACGTGGCATCGCCGAAGGGGCCGAGGTCCAAGAAGGTCGCCGATACCGCGGGGCGCTCGGCCCCCTCGGCCGCGCCGCCTCCGACGGCCCGCCCTGCATCACCGCCGTCATCGTCGCTGTCCACGACCTGAATCACCCCCAGCTGCCAGTCCTCTGGGCAGCATCGCCGATTCGGCCGAGTCGCCTCGATCGGACGACTTACCCCTTCTCCTCGAACTCCTCCTTCGAACCCTCCTCCTCCTATAAGCCCTGTCCCCAAGGCCCAAGCCCTGCCCCTGCTCATTCCAGGCCGCCCACCCCTGGCCCGCCCGCTGACCCCCCGTCGCCTCGGACGTCTTCGGCTCCATCGAGGGGGTCGGGTACCCCATTATCGCGAGCGTCGCCATGATATCAATGATATCTCGCAAGTCGGACGCGCTGATCTCGCCGTGGCTAGCGCCCTCGGACGCCGCCGATCCCCTGCCTCCTCCTCCGCCTCCTCCTCCTCATCCACCTCCTCCTCCTCCTCCTCTCCCCCCTCTCCTCCATGCCCCCGCAGCCCGCCGGCCATCCACGAGATCGCTGAGACTCGCCGACATCGAGGCGGCGCGGCCGATGAAGGGGGGGGCGGGGGAGGGCGAGACGAGTGGGCGGCAAGCAGCGCGAGCGAGCCGGCCAAACCCTAAGCACGCCATTCAACATCTCAGGGGCCCGAGAGGCCCCCCAATGAAATTCGAACCCTCGCGTCCTCCTGCCTCTTGCGAGCCCACGCGACCCCGTGCGACTCCATCACCTCGAACGTGTCGCCGACCATGTAGATCGACCCGTCGACAACGCACTTGCGGTAGAACATCTCCTCGAACAACCACGTGTTGACCCTCGGCGCCCCAGGCGGATCGTAGTCCTGCTGGACAACTCCACCCAACGAGAACCAAGTGTACACCCTCCGGCGGCAGGAAGGGATCCCGAGGTCGGTCGGGCTGAAGCGCACTGTGAACTGGTCGTAGGTGCGCGCCGTCGAATCTTCATGAGACTCAGTCGGCCGACTGAGCGGGTGCTTTGGGGGAGGACCCCCCTGCGACGCCAGCAGCTCGTCATCGGCGCCCCGCTCCTCGGCCACGGACGTCAAGTTCAAGATCTCGGTGAAAAACCTCGGCTCGAAGAGAGGCGTGCATTCGTCGACCACGTCGTCCGGTTCGAAAAACCGACAAGAGTGTATCCACACCAATGCTGGGAGAGTCGCAGGATCAAGAAAGTTGTTGTGCGACCCGATGGCAGTCCATGGGTCGCACGTGTGGCCGCCCACCTCTACCCAGCGGTGCTTCCGTCGATGCTGCTGGCTCCGAGGGCTGATGTCGCACATGGCCTGGCACTTGATGCACCACTGCTTTTCCAGAAAACTGACGCTGCTCAACTTCTGGTTCAACTCGGCGACGTACGATTGACTGAGCCTGGCCTTTCCCTCCTCAAACGCGGCCTTGTCGAGGGTCGGGGGGGTGTCCTGAGCCCCCTTGTACTGCGCCTTGAGATCCTTGAACTCCGCCAACCTGGCCACCTGCAACGCCTCGAGCTCCTCCCGCAAGTCTGAAGGGAGCCTATCCAACACATCATCGAAGATATGGAGCGCCCTGCTCCTCTCGCTGTGGTTGCTCAATACCTTGAAGCTCGTCTCCCCGATGTCACACGCCGAATGCACAACGCAGTTATGCACGAACGACTCGTTGTAAAACTCGCTGCCGCGGCCGAAGATGTACGTGGCCACCGCCGCTGCGGTTCCTGGGGGAGGTGCGTTGGGGCCCCAGCGCTGCCCGCTCCTCCCTCCTCAACGTATCCCCTCACTACATCCTCCGTATCCTCCACCTCCTCCCCTCACTACATCCTCCGTATCCTCCACCTCCTCCCCTCGCTACATCCTCCGTATCCTCCACCTCCCCCCCTCACTGCGTCCCCCGTATCCCCACACTGCCTCAGAGTGCATGGGCCCCGGGGCCCCTAATGCACGCCCGAAGCTGTCCTGCGCCCGCGTAAGTCTCCGTGATCACCATTGGTTGTTGCAAGGAGCGGATCAAGCCGTCCTGCATGTCAAGATGCGGGCTGGCCGACTGGAGATTCCGCATCGGCTCGAGGTTCTTCGAGAAGAAATCCAAACACCCCTCCAAGTCCTCAGGGCCGCTCGCGTGCCACGACTTGCCGGAGGAGACGCGCTTGCTCGTCAACTTCCGCCTGCTGAAGGAATCGTCCAGGTCTGCCGATAATTCTTCATCTGAGACCATTCGCCTTTTGAATGACGTCGGGCCGTCAGCCAGCTGGTCAGCGACGAGCGGGGGCCCGGCGGCGTCCTCGGGCGACCTTTGAGGAGGCGGGGCGAGGAGGAGAGGGGCGGTGGAAAGAAAGCAGAAGGGAGAGAACATGGAGAAGAGAGGGGGGGAGGAGAAGGAGGAGCAGCAGCAGCAGCAGCAGCTGCAGCAAAAGGAAGAGGGGGGGGGGGGAAACGAACTGCGAGAATGGAGGGGTGGGGGGAGCAAGCAGGGGGAAGCGAGGAGAGCGGGAGATCGGATGGGGATGGGATCAGGGGGGAAGCAACGGCAACGCAAAGCGAGAACGACTTTAACTTAAAACGACGAAGGGTTGACGACCTGTCGTGCTTGTTGGCCCTGAGCTCCTTGGCCACCATGCGGTTCATGTTGATCCTCGCCATGTCCGCGGGCGTCAAGCTGACCGGCGGCGAGGCCGCCGAGCCAGCGGCGGAGCTGCTGGCGCCGGCGGAGCTGCTGGCTCCGCCTGGAGGATCCTCTGACTCCATGCACACGGGCCCGCGCGGCCAGACTGCCAGCCGATCTGGGGACGTCCCGCGGATCCTATCCTCTGAGCCTCGAGCCCCGAGCATTGGCCCGAACGAAACCCATTATAAGGAACCCAGAGCTACAGCAAGGGGACGCAGCACATCCCATAAACATGCCCAAGAGAAGGCTGGCGGTCTCCAGACTGGCACGATCGGGCAACTACGAGGGGCATCCCAACGACTGAGGAGGGGCCTCTTACTGGGCCTCTTACTCTGACCGTTTGAACGTCATGTATGAGCCTGTCCACTTACTGCTGCGGTGGAATATTCATGTATGCACGCATAAGTACGACTTAGGCTATGCGTGTAGGAATGCACATGGTTGTTGGCATACTTATATACATTTGTATGATCTGTGTATGCACATGTGTATACCCCGATGCATTAACATACGGTTTGTATGAACACGTACACATGAAAATATCAAGATGCGTATACATATCTAAATAGATACACATGTAAATGTATATACACCTATATCTATGTTTATATACATTACATCCATATCTACCAATAACAAACCCAGAACATGTCTAACAACGTGGAAACGCTCTCGCGGCAGCATCGATTCCAAATACCCCAGCAAGCCCTTTCTTACAACGAATATATTGGGTTTTCCTCAGAATTGTCTTGCAAGCAACAAAAAAAACAATTAAAACTAATATTTGGGCGATTTTTCATTGTTTTTACGTTTTCTTTGCATATTTCAATTGCAATTATCAAAAAAAGATTTTTTTACATTAAAACAAGACAAACAATCATTTTTGATTCCGCAGCTCCAATTTCACATGGTTTGGTAAATTATTGAAGAAAACGCCCAATCCACCCCCCCCTGGATCGGCAGAAACCCCCCCTGGGTCGGCAGAAACCCCACCTGGGTCGGCAGAAACCCCCCCCCTTCTTGGTCGGCAGAAACCCCCCCCCTTCTTGGTCGGCAGAAACCCCCCCTGGGTCGGCAGAAACCCCCCCTGGGTCGGCAGAAACCCCCCCTGGTCGGCAGAACCCCCCCCCTGGTCGGCAGAAACCCCCCCTGGGTCGGCAGAAACCTCCCCCGCTGCCAGGGGCGCGGCTGGAGCCCCGGCGAGCATTGGGACGGCGAAATCACGTTCGCGGCAAGATTTGAATGCTTTTTCGCACCAATACACAGAATGTATAACAAACCATGGGGATTGAGTGAAATTTCACCAAAACAAATGAAAAAAAACATTGAAACATGGTGGATTTCTGTGTTTTTGAAGAAAAAACAGCAAAAAACAACAAAAAAGCAACAAAAAAGATACAGGTGTCAAAAAAATGTGCGCAAACATGCTGGCAAACCACACGCACACGCATATACACATATATATATATATGTATATATATATATATATATATATATGTGCACTCATATTTGTAGATATACGTGAATATACACATATATATATATGCATACATATATACATGTATATATAGAACTAGAGAGAGAAACATATTAACATAATATTACATATGTATATGTATGAATATATATATATATGTATATATATGTACATATATATATATATATATATATATATATGTACATATATATATATGAATATATATATATATATATATATGTGTGTACATATATATATACATCCATACATACAGACATATACACCCATCGGACAACCAGAAAGGCAACACCGCGCAGACAACACAGATCGGAGGTCAACAAAATCACAAGTGAGAAGTGATGGGATTCAAAGAACACCGTAAGCAACACCTGCTTATGAGAACCTGAATGCTATTAGTGACACAACAGAGACAGACGTTCAAACGGCGCCACCAGGATATCTGGATGACATGATGCATGACTAGTGTGTACGTCGGTCAAGGTGTTAATAACTACATTATGGTGTACTCGCATGCGCGTTTACACGCGTACATGCACGCGCGTGTACATGTGCAAAGGCAACGCTAGAACGGCGTGGCCGCGGCGTACGAAACAACGGCCCCGAATGTGGCAATCTACATCGTTGGCGAGCTTGGGCGACAGATCAGCGGTTTTGGCAGCGGAGTAGCCCTTTCCAACCGACGTTGTGAGGCACTGGTTGGGCAATCTAGGCGTTCTGTGCATATGTGCATATATGTACACGCAAAATACGGCATGATTTACACGTGCACCATGACCGCTATGATGATAGTAAGGGCACGCGGGGGGCTCGAAGGAGGCCTGCACTAAGATTCTACACGCGTTATCTGGGACCTGAGGGGAACTCTGGATAACCAGGAAGCCCACGACGAACCGCCACGGACACACCGAGATGGCCCGGCTCCAATGACGAGGCCCCCCAGGCTCCAACGATGGAGACCATGGCCGATCGCGGTCCCCAGGGCCCAGGGGCCCGACATGAACGCGCCCGCCCGCCGCCCCCTGGGCGGCCCACGACGCCCCTGCAAACGCTGGGGATGGGCGGTGCCCTCGAGGGGAAGCCGCGCAGGGGGTGGCGAGGAACGTGGGGTCGAAGGAGAGGGGGGCGCATCATGAGATTGACGGGGCAATGCAACACGCACGAGGGATATGGGCGGAGAAGAGACGGCCCCCGCGTCGGCCCCTTGCGGGCGACGAGCTCGAAGTTCAAGAACTCACCTGAATGTGGGACAGTGCCCTGCGGGTGGGCTGAGGCCAGAAGAGCCCCTGGCCCTCCACCTTTCCTGTTCCCCCTCCTCCTCCTCCTCCTCCTCCTCCTCCTCCTCCTCCTCCTCCTCCTCCACCTTCAGCTCCCTCATCCTCCTCCCCTTGTCCTCGTGCTACTCCCTTCCTCATCCCATCTCTCGTGCCCCCCGCAGGGAGGAAGGCGGGCGGCGTGCCATCGGGCGCGCCCCCCCGAGAAACAGGAGGAAAGGGATATCGGGGCAGGCGAGCGGGGGGATGATAAGTGCAATTCTTACACCTCTGAGTTGGGCCATCAGTACCCCAACAATCCGATGGCAACAACGACGCCCTCGCAACAAGCACGGATCAAGCAGGCCCGCGCGGCTCCAGAGGCTCGCCGGGGCGCTGGTCCCTCTCCAGCGCGGCGAGGCGCTCATAAATATCTCGGTTGGCGAGGCGGAGCCGCTCCCTGGCGGCCGTGCGCACCTCGAAAGACAAGTGCTCAGCCGCGTCCGCCGCACCGCCAGGGCGAGTGATCGCAAAATGCTCGGCCTTGCTGCCGAACTGGCCGCTGCGCTCGAGCCACGCAAGCAACGTGCCCAGAGGCCTGCCCTGGAACGGGCGGCCGACTGGATTTGGATTCTCCTTGCAAGTGCGGTTCAAACGACATTGTTTGCCATGCGCTAAGCATCCGCAGTGGGCCGAAAGCTGGTGGAGCTTCGTGTCGTATTTCAAACATGCTCTCGGCCCTATATGGGGCATCGGAAACTCGGGATGGTCGACCCTGTCTCCGCCAAACACGGGGGCCGCGGGAGGTGGCGGCGGCGGCGGCGGCGGAGCCGCGGCCACCGCGCACTCGGGCTCTGGAGGAGGCCCTGGGAGATGCACCACTGGAGGCGGCTCTGGCGGCGCAGGTGGCTCGTGCCCAGGCGGAGGACCTGGCGGGCCTGGCTCCACGCCAGGCAAGCCCTCAAGGAGGTGCCCAATCTCGACCTCGACGTCTATCTCCATCTCCTCACCAGGGTGGTCGACGTGACCGCCGTCGCCAGGGGAGCGGGGGCTGCCTGGCGGGGAGGGCCTGTCGATATCCACCAGGACGTCGGGGCCAGCCTCGGGCCCTCCGATCGCCAGCGGCCGGCGCCTCCGCTGATCCAGGTCGGACCTCAGCACGCCTTGATCCTCCAGCGCAGGGGCTGGCGGAAGATCGCCCCCGCTGAGGATGCTCGCGTACACCGCAGGTGCGCGACCGCGCGGAACGTGCTCGATCCTCGCGCAGAGCTCCTGCCAGCCATGGCAGAACATCGTCGTCGTCGCCATCGTCGTCGTCGTCGTCGTCGAGGGGGCGAGGAGGCGAGGAACGCTTTGGACGACGTCGTCGTCGTCGTTCCTCGCAACCTCGCCCCCTCGACGACGACGATGACAACGACGACTACGACGACGACGACGACAACTTAGTTCGGCACCCCTGCCCCGGCGAGCGTCCTCGGCAATCGTCAGGGCATGCAAGTACTCCTGGTGGATTGGCGCTGTCGCCACAACGGTGCTGTGCATTATCTTCGGGTCGCCCGGCTTGTAGCCGTCGGGGCAGCGGCGCAGGGCCCTCGTCGGCTTGACCCACGGGCGCCACTGCCAACCAAGGGATAGGGCGGGACCAAGGGTGAGACATGAGGAGGAGGGGGAGGAGGAGGAGGAGGAGGAGGAGGAAGAAAAAGAAGAGGAGGGGGGGAGGTGGAGGAGGGAGAGGAGGAGGAGGAAGAGGAGGAGGGGAGGAGGGAGGAGGAGGAGGAGGAGGAGGAGGAGGAGGAGAAGCAGCAGCAGCAGGTAGCGGAGGAAGGAGGAGGAGGAGGAGGATGGGGATGACGAGGCGGAGGAGGAGGATGTGGAGGGGGAGGCGACCGTCGTCCAAGAGCGCCACGAGCAGCTCATAGGAGGTCTTCTCCTCGGCCGGCACGTCCCTGATCGCCAAGGCGGGCGCGGGCTCGGACAACAACCAGAGAGACTGGGGGCGGTCGCCCTCGAGCGCGCGCTTCGAGAGGCAGCCGCGCAGCGCTCCATCATCATCGAGATAGAGCTCCACGAAGCCCAGCGCGTCCAAGGACTTGACGGCCTCGAACAGCTCGCCCTCCAGATGATCAACCCGCGGCCAAAAGCTCGGCCACGCGTTCTTCTCCTCGTTCCCTGGATGCGCACTGATCTCGACGAGAGTCGCGACCACCTGCGTCAAGAGCGGCTCTGCCACGCTGTCGGGAGGCACCGACGGGATGGTGTACTGCAAGCGCGGGGCGTCACCCCACGCCAGGAAATTCTCGCGCAGGGTCTGCGGCTTGCCAAAGTCGTGCAGGATGTGGACGCTGCCAGCGCTGCCAGCGCTCCTAACAGCAGGCGCCGCCTCAGTCCCCCTGATGGTGTCGATCGGGAAGGGCGTCAAAGTCATGGCATTCCTGCCGAGGCGCCCCCCCGCGCCCGGCGCAACCTTCACCGTCTTCTTGCACCCGACGTCGGTCAGAGCAACCTAGTGGCGACAAGCGATGTCATCCTACTCATCTTCCTCCGCTCACTCCTGCTCCCTCATCCCCCCACTCTTCCACCGCCCGGCTACCCTCTGCCCCCTAACCATGCGCCTCCTCCTCCCGCACTTGCCCGAGCGCCCGTTCGCCCTCGCACCTCCATTCCCTTTCCTACCCCCATCCCCTTCCTCCTCCTCCTCCTCCTCCTCCTCCTCCTCCTCTTCCTCCTCCTCCTCCTCCTCCTCCTCCTCCTCCTCCTCGTCCTCCTCCCCTGTCTTCAGACCGCCACCCCCGCAGCTACAGGGTCCCAAAAGCGGGGGCAGGGGGAGGCCATGGTCGACCGAATGGGCTTTAAACTCTCCAACCTTGAAGACGATGTCCCTAGGCAAGTCGTCCCCGGCGTCCGCGATGGCCAACATCTCCTCGCCGGCGGCCACCCTCGCGCGCTTGGCGCGAGCCCTCTCCGCCTCCGCGGTGGCCGAAGTCGCCATGGAGCGCTCCAAGGGCTCGACGTTGGCTGCGGCAGCTGCGGGCACTGAATAGAACCGACCTGGCTTATGCTGCTCCCGGAAGTGCTGAGTGATCGCCAACTTGAGGATGGTCTCCTGTCCGTCGTGCCAGAAGGCGCTACTCTCTTTCGCCTCCACCCGCGCTCTTTTTTCTTTCAGAGACTTATCTTCGCCCTTGAAGCTGCGCAGCGAGCGGTAGCAGTTATTGATGTCGCAGTGGTAGAAGATGCTGCTTATGATCGGGACGAGCTCCGAAGTCTGGTGCTGCCTGGCGCGGATGCTGATCACCAGCGGGTGCAGCTCGAAATGGAGCAGCTGCGGGACTCCGCTGAGATACCTCGACTTCCCGAAATCCTCCAGGAGCTGCTTGATGACCGTCGGATTCTTCAACAAAGTGCGCTCCAGCAGGGGCAGCCTATTGGCCAGCGACACGCGCGTCGGCCCGACGTGGTGCCTCTTGTTTTCCTGACTGACGCGGCTGTGTTTCTCTTCGATCGTGGTCTCGACGATCGGGATGAACATGAAGCACGCGATCTGCTCCTGGAACTGCGGGGACAATGACCAACGGCACTCCCCGGCGACGAACCGCTCCAACTGCTCCCTGAAGGCCGCGCCCGGCCGAAGAAGATCCCAAGAAAGATGGTGCTGCACTGGCGGCCCACGTGGGTCGCGATCGATGATCTCGAGGGACTCCCTGGCGCACTGCCTGGCGGCGCTGTCGTCCACTGACGCCACGCCGATGAGCAACCATGGAAGAGTCTTCCAATACCCGCATTTGATGCCGATCAGCGTCGTCTGCACGGCCTTCGCATGCATCATGTCAGCTCGCAAGTCCGCAAGCTGGCCGACGGATAGATTGAAAAAAGACGCGTGCTGCAACACCCTGGCTTCGCACTCCTCCCATACCAACTGCATTACTGCGTCCACTCGGCCAGCTGCAACCTCGGGCGCCCTCTTGCCGCTCATCGGGCACACCTGGACGGCGCCGCCGAAGTGGCGCCGCAGAAGTTGGCGACGGTGATGGTCGCTCATGCCAGCGGTGTCGACGAATCTGCCTGCGAGGAGGCGGGGGGGGGGCAGACGGATGAGGAGACGAGAGGGGAGGGCGAGGAGGTACGAGGGAGGGGCAGTGGAGGCGACTGGCGACTGGAGAGGGGTGCCCTCTCGCCTCCGAGCCGACGACGCCATTGGCGACCAAGGCGGAAGAGCGGCTCGTGGCACGGGCACCCCTCGCCCCAAGACGCCAGCGCCCTCTCCGGCAAGTCGTCCACCTCCATGGCGAACCTGACGTAGCAGTGGAAAAAGCTGTCGCTCAGAATACTCGCCAACTTCTCGACGTTCAGCCGGCCGCCCTCGTCCTCCTCGCGGGGCTGGCCCGCGGAGAACTTCGCGGGGTCGAAGTGGCGGCGCAGCGTGGGAAGGAGGGGGTCGGCAGATCGCAAGAAACTCACCACGCACCTAGCATCTGCAAGGACGCGGAGGAAGACGGGCATTGATTAAGCGACAGGGGGGGGGGCCGGGGGGGGGGGGAACTCCAAAAAAACCTCAACACAAATCGCCGCAACCCAATGGGAAAAATGGCAGCGCATGGCCCAACCCAAGACACGCCCGCCTGAGAGGGGGGCCGAATCGTTCATCTCCGCTACCCCATCCACCTCCTTGTCCTCCTCCTCCTCCTCCTCCTCCCTTCTCCTCCTCCTCCTCCTCCTCCTCCTCCTCCTCCTCATCATCATCATCATCATCATCATCATCCTCATCTTCCTCCTCCCCCTCCTCCTCCTCCAGCTCCTTATCCTCCTCCCTCACGCCGCCCTCGCCCTCGCCCCAGCCTCCCCCCAGCCTCTATCTCATTCACTCTTTCTCTCTCTCTCTCTCTCTCTCTCTCTCTATCTCTCTCTCTCTCTCTCTCTCTCTCTCTCTCTCTCTCTCTCTCCTCTCTCTCTCTCTCTCTCTCTCTCTCTCTCTCTCTCTCTCTCTCATCTCCATCTTTCTCTCCACGCCCCCCCTGCACCTCGAAGGCGGGGGGGGGGGTGGATGGGGTAGCAGCGAGATCAGGGGTGGGGGGGCTCCAGCAAGCCCGAACGCTCGTTCTGGCAATCCAAAGAATCAGGAAACGTTTACGGGATTGATGGGGCTGGGGGGGTACTGACCCGCCGATGGGGGGGGCCGAGGCGTTGCTGACCCGGGCGCTACCTCCAACGTTTTTCGTAGAGGCTGCCGTCGAACTGCTTGAAGTCCCCGGCGCGATGCTCGTGCGGTGTGCCCTGCAAGCACGTGGCCACGAAGTGGGTCCTCTTGGGCTTGCACGTCAGCAGCGCGGCCAGGACCTTCAGCTCGGCGTAGAACGTCTCCCAGTGCGACAGCGACGCGTGCACGTCGCCGTTCAGGTTGTTCGTGAGATGCTGGAAGCCGTAGATGCTCATGGCCTTCGGCATGAAGCACTCCTGGTGGGAAAACGCCCCCTCCCCCCCCCCTCGGCCTCCTAATATGCATATGCCCGACGCTTCCCCCGCCGCCCCGGCGGCCAGCGGGCTATCTACTCAGCCTCGCCCCATTTCATTCATTTTCTCCCTCTTGATCCCCATCCTCGCCCTCCATTCCCTCCCCCTCCGCCCTGGCGTCCCGAGTCCTCATCTCCCTACTCCGACTACCCCCCTTCCCCCTCCTCATCCTTCTTGCCCCTCTTACCCCTCCGACCCCGTGGGGCTTGGCAGTTTCAGATGCGGGCCGCGGTCCTGCTGGGCGACTGCGACGGGCTCGACTGCCGGAGGGCCGCCTTCGGCTGCAGGAGGGGCGGCGGCGGCCGCAGGCTCGGCTGCTGGGGGGTCACCCTCAAGAAGACCATCGGATCCAAGGCCGAAGTCGCCCAGGTCGCTAGCGGGCGGGGCGACCGGCGGCGGGGCAGCTGCAGGAAGATCGGCGGCGGGGGGGCCATCTGCAGGCGCCCCATCACCGTCCACCACCATGTCGTCCAAGTCTGCTCTCAGCGAGCTCCGATCCATCCACGGCGCCGCCAAGTCGTCGAGGCTGCGCACGTAGAAGTCTGGCAGACTCATCTCTGTCCCCATGTCCGACGTATGAGAGACGAAAGACTTCGAGAACTCCGACAGCGTGGCCCCCTCCGGCAGCTCAACGCCCCACTGGTGGCAGAGGGCGCTGGCCTTGTTTGCCAGCGATGTCATCCCCATGGCCAGCGACGTCGGCGGATAGATGTGCTCCTCAATGCCAAGCAGAGCGTCGAGATGGGGCTGCCACGCCGAAGCTGGGCACAGCGGCACGGGATCCGAGTCGCCCCGCTCCAAGCGCGCCCGCGCGAACTCCGTGGTGGCGCGGATCAACTCGTGGGATGCCCTGCAGATGCGAACGACCTCGCTCCTCTTGATCTCGTGGACCTGCGCCCACAGCCAGTCGAAACCGCAGAGCGGAGAGGAGTCGCTCCACATGAACCTCACCGCGGATGGGTCGTAGGTAGCGCGGCGAAGCAAGGATATCGCAATGTCTAGGGACAGCTCTCCACGCATAATCGTGGACACGCTTGGCAGCGTGGACTTCTGGAAATGCCTGCGGTCGCCATTCGCCTCGATCCCCCTGCAAATGACGCTGGCCACGCACTCTGGAGCTGCCAATGCTATCGCGCGCTGGACAGCGACGTGAAGTCCAGACGCACCTCCTCTCAACAAAGACGACGTCCGAATTGCCAACATGAGCTTCTCGGTCGAGTGGCGGTACTTGCCATATCCACGAGAGCTGCCACTGTCGCCGGCGGCCTCCTCCATCTGCTGTGCCCAACCGTCAACTGCAAGCACTGCATCCTTCAACAAGGGTCGTTGCTCCTCACTGGCGCCCTGGGCGAACTGCCGCATCAGAGAGCCGATCTTCCGCAATTCCTGGGGGGGCCGACGAATCATTTTGCAAAACAGCGGAAGGGGGGGCTGCGAGCGGACAGAGACACCGAGGAGGGAGTCAGGAGAGGAGGAGGAGGGGAGGAGGGAAAAGGGGGTAGGAGGGAGAGGAGGGCGATGAATCATGAAGAGGAAGTGGCGGTGGGAGCGAAGTTTCCCCGCTGCAGTCCCCAGCTGAAATCGGCGCGCGCACCTCGTCCTCGGGCTCCATCGCAGCCCCGGCAGCTGCCCTCCAGACGGCAGCATCCGGCGGAGGCCAGCCGAGGCTAGCGTGCAGCGGCGCGCCCTTCAACATGATGCCGCCCTCGGTGATCAAACGGTTGCGCCAAGATGCCCTGATCAAAAGAGATGACCACTGCCCGCGCGAGAGCAAGCAAGCCACCGGCTCCGGCACCAGAAGGACAGGCAAGTCTTCAGGAGCCTGCTCGACGCCCCACCCCTGGAGCACCTGCGCTGCGGACATGACGCCAGGTGGCGGCACGGATCCATTGGTGTCAATGTCGAACTCCGACTCCGACTCGGACATCATCTGCACGTGATTGCAACAGCGATCGCGGTTGGCAGCGTCACTGTGCCATGACCACGAAGTCCTGGGCTCCTTGCTCAACATGAGATCGGACGCGGTGCCCTCCCACCTGTTGAAGTACAACTCCCACAACGGGCTCGTCAGCCGCACCGTCACGTGGTCGGAGTGGCCGCCCTGACGAGGGCGACCGCGCGGCGCCGGCGCGAAGCCGAAGGTGGAGGGCTCAGGGGCGACGGTGGTGGCGACCTGGGCGGGGGGGCCTTTTGCGCTGCTTACTCCCCCACCCCGGCCCTGACCTCCCCTGTCGTCTATTCGCTCCTCCCCGCCTCACCCCTCGAACTCGAAATCACCCCTCCGTCTCAGACTCCACCTAGTACCTCATCCTCCAATTCGTCCCGTCATCAATACTTTAACTAACTTCCTACCACCTCTAACTCAAAAACCATCATCCCCGAACTCCCCCCAAGGCCAACGTTTGATGGAGCGACCTCCTCCACCTTGAACGCGTAGGCGTCCGGCGGGTTCCCGAAGAGGTCCAGCATCAACCTGTTGGCCGCGCAGGCGAAGCTTCGTCGATCGATAGCGGACTGGCTTCGGCTCGAGGATCACCACCCCGCACCCCTCCCCCCCAAAGATGGCGGAGAGGGATGCGACGGCGTGATCCCCGAACCTAGCCCGCCACTGATCGACGAAGGGTCGTTGCAGCGACCCGCCTGTGCTCGTCGCCCCACTGGTCGGCCCGCCCGCTGCGCGCCACGCCCGGCCCCACGCGGGCGAGGCACTGCACGCTGATGGCGGAGGCGTCCGCCGAGGACGCCAGCGCCTTCGCGCCCCCGCCCTCCGCGTACAGCGCCATGCGCGAGGTGTCGAGACCTCGCGGGGGGGAGCCGTGGGGCCGACGACGACGACGCGACGACGACGACGACGACCACGACGACGACGACAGATAAAGCCCAACAAATAACTGTATGCGACGACGACGACGACGACAGAGGTAAGAAGGAGGGAGGAAGGCTAGTAAGTAGGAGGGCTGAGGCGAGAGGGAATGGGATGGAGATGTGTCGGGAGGGCAGCCCTTGTATCATATATGGGCCCGTCCGACCGAGTCGCCGACGCAGCCACTCCGCGGGCTGGAGCACGCGGCGGCGCCTGACGCCGTCGTCGGCGCCATCGCGCGCGGTGCGCCCGGCGCCGTCTGGGAATGACCCAACCCAGAGGGCGGCCATCCCCTCGGTCCAAAAGGACTGCGTGAGGGAGAGCCCTCACGCGTTGACGACGAAGACGACGACGACGACGACGACGACCACGACGACGACGACGACGACGACGACGACGACGACGACAGCGACGACGTCTTAGGGGGGGCGCGTCTTCCTGTATCCTCTAAAAAGGCCCCCAAAAAACGCCCCCCCTACAACGCGAATCCTGAAGCCAACAAAGCCCGACAAACAGCCTGACGTGATAGCGAAACGACGACGACGACACTGACGTGACGACGACGACGCGACAACGACGACGACGACGACGACGACGACGACGACGACGACGTCGACGCGACGACGACGACGACGATGACGACGACGACCACGACGACGACTACAAATAAAACCCAACAAGTAACTGTATGTGACGACGACGACGACGACGACGACGACGACGACGACGAGCAACGAGCACCGCTGCTGACCGCCGACCGCCGACGATATGCTCGGGCCCTCGTCCAGGCCGATCTTCCGAGGCGGACCCAGCTGCGGCGACTAAGGCGCCCCGCGATACCCAGACGGACCCGAAACAAAACTGCGACGACACCGGCCATGACGGCGACAGCGACGACGACGGCGGACGACGAGAACGAGCACCGCTCTCCCCCCCTCGCGCCATCGTCCTCCTCCTCGTCCTCTTTTCGCCCCCATTCCTCCTCCTCCTCCTCCTCCTCCCCCTCCTCCTCCTCCTCCTGCTCCTCCTCCGGCTGCTTCTCCCCCTCCTTCTCACCGTCCGCCTCCTTTCTTCTTATCCCCCTGGGAGGGGTGGGTGAACGCGTGAAATTTGGGGACGTGCTCGCGCGGATGCGGCCCCCCCTCTCGGGGGGGCCACGGGGGGACACGCCCCCCCCCCCCGCGGGGTGCGAGGCGGAAATGGCTCCCATCATTGCCTTCCGTGGTTTGGCCTAAAGACGGCCCCAAGACGGCCAAAGATGGTCCCAGGAGGGCCCACGAGGCCCCCAAGACTGCCCAAGAGGACCCCAAAGAGCGCCTCCAGAAGCAAAAATCATAGATGTCCTAATTGGTTGTTGACCGAATTTAGCGTTCTCGCTTTTTTCGGCTCTCAGAGAATCATGACGGCCCAAGCAGCCTCCAAGAAGACCCCACTACGGCCCAAAAAGTTCCCAAGAGGGCCCCAAGACGGCCCAATAATGCCCCAAGACGGCCCCAAGAGGCCCCCAAGACGGTCCAAGAGGCCCCTAAGACGGCCCAGGAGGACTCCAAAAGAACCCCAAGGCGGCCGCGAGAGGCCTCCAAGATGGCCTCCGAAAGGGGCCAGACGGCGCAAGAACGCCCCAAGACGGCGCAAGACGTCAACAAGAAGCCCCGTGAGGCCCCAAAGCGGCCCCAAAGACGCCCCAATAAGCCCCGGAGAAGCTTCAAACAGGCCCCCAAGAGCTCCCCCCAGGAGACCGCCCAGAAGCCCCAGGGATGGCAGGGCGACGCGCCACGCGCGCGCGGCAGCCGAGCAGGTCACGCCATCTAGCAATAAAATTCCACATGTCTGTTTTGAAGAATTTTCCACGGCGGCGATTGCCCATCCGGATCGGTTGCGCGGCGCCTACTCTGCCCGCCGGCAAGCGGGGCAGAGCGCGCCTGCTCTGTCACGCTGGGGGCTACGCACGGCTTCTCGCCTAAACAATGCCGATCACCGCGCGCGCGTTAAACTTCTATCCCGGCACTGAGCGCAGGTCCACTCCTTCATGTTCCAGACTCTGTGCTTGGCCGTCTTCGGCCGCGGAGCCGAGCCGCGTGTCGCGCGCGGCGGAAATTTGCAAGACTCGCGCCAGAAACCGGCGCTGCACGTCAAGCGCTCTGGAGGCCAAGCTGCATAAAACTGCCCCGCGGGCTTGCCCCGCTGGCAGATTCGACATCTGGAGAGGCGGGCCGCCGACAAAACGCAATAATGCTGCCTCTCGGGGGCGCGCGCCACGCAAGCGGCGAGGTCCACCGCCCCCCTGCTTTTCAGGCCATCCACCTCGCTGCGTCGGAAATTCGTCAATGTCTTGGGCTCCTCGCAGCGATTGCAGACGAGAGCGTCTCTACCTTTCGCGGCGAATGGCGCTGCAGCCGCGGCGCGCGCGCCCGAAGCAGAGGTCCGCTTCTGAACGTAGGGTCCGCACCTCCTCCACGCGCCTTGGCTCGGCGCCGCCGCGGCGTGCTCCCGGGGATCGCCCGTGACCGTGCCACTTCCTGGGAAGTTGCCCGGTCTCTTTCGCCGGTGGCAATCGGCGCAATGGAGCGTGGCGCCCGCCAACTTTTTCGACGACCTGGACGCGGCTTCCGTCTCTGCCTTGGCCCAGACAGCTCGCGTCTGTTCCGTCGTCACATCCCCTGCTCTGAGGGGGCGCAGTAGCCGCGGGCCCGTCTGATGCCCCTGGCGGAGCAGCATTGGCGAAAAAGGCTTGGCGATGATCAACTTTTCCAGTGATCAGCTCTCCTGGTACGGCGGAAGGCCACGTAGCCAGTGGGGATCATGGGCGAACGGGGCGTCGCCCGCGCGTCTACTAGGTCGACGATGGCCCGAGGAAGAATGGAGCCGGCGACGCAGTGGGCCGCGGCGGCGAAGTGCGGGGCGAGCGGGGCCCCGCGCGCATCGCCACTGCCTTGAAGCCGGGACTGCGATCCCAGGGCACTTCCTTCAGCTTCGCCGGGAAGACGCCAGCGGGTTGAATTGCCGATGCGGGGGGCCGTGCTTCTTGAAATTCTCACCATGATCGCATCGGGCTCGCGCTGCAGGACCAACTCCAGCTCGGACCTCTGCTCGTTCACCAGCTTCGAGTCGGCGGAGTGGAGGGCCCAGCCAGTTACTGTCCCCCAGGAATGCTTGCACGCTCCCGCCTCCGCATTCTCCGCGGTCGCGATGCGCGCGCGTCCCTTCGAAGATCGATAGCGCGCCCGGAACTCCGCCAGTCTTGTTCTCTGGGGACATGAGCCAGTTCTGCCTGGCCTGGGCGAGCGACTCCTTCGACCTGCATGCGTCGCCCCGAGTGAGGGGGGCGTCGCGCGCCACCGCATAGAGGAGCTGCTTCCCAGCACTTGCTGCCGCAATCGCCGCTCGCAGAGTCAAAATTCTGCTCTTCGGGGCGTTGCACGGGCGCGTGAACAGCGCGTCGGCGAACGCCGCGCTGACCTCCCGCTGTCTGGCATCGCGAGAGGCGACGCGGCAGCGCCGACGGCGTTCCGCGCTGCAGTCAGCGCACTCAAGAACTCGCATGTCCTGCCAGGCCCGACCCTCTCGGAACATCCGCGGCCACTCAACTGACCAGAGCGCGCGGCACTTCGCCCTCGTGCAGCCCAGGAGCTCCGTCGAGGCCTCGGCGCTGCCGGGGCTTGCGGGCGCCCATGGGCCGGGCGCGTCGGCGGGGAAGCCGCGGGCGAAATCGTGCGCCCTGTCCGACAGATCCCCCGCGCACGCTTCTTCGAGGAAGCTCCTCCACCACGGGTCTGAGCAGCGGTGCGACCGGGTCAGGGCGTAGAGGTGCGTCGCAGCGCGCGGCAATCCCTCTGTCCAAAACATCTCGAGCACGCGGCCAACGTCGGCGGGCCGCTCCAAGAAAGGATCGGCAGCAATGCTGAGTCCTCACGGGCGGGATCTGCAACAATGAGGCGAACTGTTTCGGGGCGCGTGCGCCCACGGCCCACGGGTTCCTCATGTCCCTCGTCGAGTCCTTCACCTGCTTCTGCACGGCGTCCAGGAGCTCCACCGACACGTTCTCCACCTCGTCGATGATAAGCCAACGCATGTGCTGGATTTTCGCGCGCAGCACGTTCTCCGACCGCTCCGGGTCCTTCTTCCCGCCGGGCTGAAACCCCGTGATGAAATCGATCCCGAGCTTGCTGAAGTTATGGATAGTATTCCCCCGATGTTGCTTGCCATGCAATTCACTGGGGCGGTCTCCATGAAGAGCACCTCGTGCTCCCATCCCATGCGCGCGGGGAACAACCCCACCTCCTCGTCGCACAGCCACCGGGTGACCTCCGACTTCCCTGATCCTGGCAGGCCGAGCACGAACAGCCTGGAACATGGCGATCCGCGCGGCTGGTCCTGCTCGCTAGTCTCCTGAACGCACCTGTCAGCGACGGCATTCAGGATGCTCATCTGCTGCGGGTCGCGGATGATCTGGTGCGTCTGAACTCCTGCGATCGTGCAGGGATAATCATGGGCTGGCCTGTCTGCGCACTCCTCACATACCTTAAACTGCTCAACGACCCTTTCAGCTACGCACCACATGTGCCCTGCCACCTGCCCGACACGCTGAGACGTGTACATGTGTACATACTGTACATATGTTTACACGCACGCGAATGTAAACGCACGCATACATCTTCTACGGAAAACGCAATGCGCGAACGAGGCACTGCAGGCGGGCGCTGCGACATCCACGGCAATGCGCACACAAAACCAATCATCAACCCTTCCACATACTTAGATCGACTCACCACTCACGCCATGGCGCTACGCAGCACATGCTCCGCGCAAGCTCGGTTGGAGACGCGCCTGCTCGGATGCCGAGGAATTCTCATGTCCGATAACTGCTTCCAGAGCGCAACGGAGCGGGCGCTCCGACCCAACTGCGCGCATGTCATACTTTGGGTAATCCCGTGTCCCCCGATTGCCCCCCCCCGTACTTTCCGCCAGCTCTGGGTGTTGATTGTCAAGTCAGCGTCGCCGGGGCACAGCTTATCCCGCTTCTTCAAGCGCGCCGATTTCCGCGGCGACCCCCGGGCATTCCCGCGAGCACCCGCTGGCAGCGAACTGCAATGCCGAAGCACAGACTGGCGCTGTGGCACGCGCCACGTGGGCTCGGTGTTCGGCGCGCCCCAGAAGGACATGCTCTGCTCCAGCGCTTCGTGCGCCGAGTGGGAGAAGTGCCCGATGTCCTCGCCAGCGGCATCCGCCCTGGCGTCTCGGTCGACTCGTCGCAAATCTGCCATGATGCTGATGGGGCTGAGAACGGGGA